GGTCGAGAAGGGAGAGGGTTGACATGTGGTGGGGTTGTTAACCAGTGTCAGAAAACAATATGTGTACTACTGTTTAATGAGAAAGTATTTGTTCTGTAAACCTTCACCTGAAGTACAATAAAAAAAAAATTCTCTATCTTTGGTTTTGGCAACATTGATTATAATATGTCTTGGTGACTTTCTTTTGGGATCTACCTTATGTGGGGTTCGATGAGCATCTTGGATGGATATCTTGTCATCTTTCACGATATTAGGGAAGTTTTCTTTCCTAAATTGTAGATATTGAGTTGACTTCCTTGCCTGTTTATTGATGTAGAAAAAGGCCTGGTGTTGATTATTTTTTAAAATATGAGAATGAATATTTCTTCCACTTGTTAGTTAATTTTCATTAGGCCTAATTTTCATTAAGCTAACGGTTAATGTCAAAATAGACACACTGTGCTCACAGTAAGGATATTCAAGAGAAAAGAAACTTGTACCTTAAATTACACTTCTTGGCTTCTCAGATTTAGCCTGGATGAAAAGGACAAGCCAAGCTGAATAGCCTGTGTTTATTTAAATCTTTATCCATATGCCCTTTGACTCCTCAAATGACTGAGTGGGTAGAAGCATGGACATGCATTGTGCCAGTGTGTGCATAAATGCTGTCACATGTAAGGCAAGAGGCAGGGTGACATAGGGAAAGCAAGTCACAAGCTGTCAGGACTCTAAATTGAAGTTTTGTTTTTATCAGGGCCCTAGAAAACTCGAGCCATGTGAAGTCATGGCCCTTAACCACGACCTCTCCCACATACTGAGGGGAGAATTCAGATGCCCATTGCAGTCAGCAGGTCACATTGCTTCTTGCATGCTCCCTGCCTCCACTCAGGTCCACCCTGGGAGACCTGTCTGCCTTGGCTGATTCCAAGTGAGATCCTTGAGCGTAAGATCAGGTTCTCATCACCTTTCTACCCAACCCACTCCTAAACTTGAAACTCGGGTTTAGCGCAAAGCTTAGTAGATGCTCAAGAAATGTTTGTGCAATGAATTAATGAATGAACAAATGTTGCTCTGGACAAAGCTTAGGCTCCCACCCACTGCATGACTACACTCAGTTCTGACCCTGAAGATAGGAAAAGCAATACAACTGACGCTGTAAGAAAATGTTTCTTGTTTACACTGCTGCATCTTGATCTTTGGCTGATCTAAGCACAAAGAGAGCTCTTTCAGTTCAGAGAAAGGAGGTTTATAGTGTGTGGGAGAGCTAAGAACAATGAGCTCAATTGATAGACTGGAGATGCTCTCAGCTTCTGAGAGCCTGGAAACTCCATCTATAGATCGGTCCCAGAGGGCAGAGCCAAATAAGGGCAGATGGAGAACACAGCTTTTTTGGGAACTGGCTTTTGGCTCCTCTGAGGCAAAAATACATTCACTCTATAGCCCCCTGAATCAATTCTCCAAAATATGGTGCTGTGTCCTTATTTGCCAGTATCTAAAAATAAGTCTTTGTCATAATTTTCTTCTTTTTGTCTTAAAGTCATCCAACCAGACTTGCTTACAGAATATTAATTGTGGTGAAGCAGAAATCAGATTAAATTGAAACTACTTTAGAATGGAGCTCCTTAACTGATGTCTGAATTGCATGCCCCCCCATCCCTCCCCTCCCAGTTAGTCTCCTTTCTCTCTAATCATGTTCCTTGCCAGCTGCAACAGGACGAGGAAGCTACAGCTAATTTTAAGTCAGCTTTCTTTAGGCTGGTCATTAGAGTGCTGCCCAAGAGTGCCAAATTCTAGCTTAGGGTTGTGACAGGGATTTAATGCTATGTCCCAGGTGTACTAGTGGGCTGGCCATACAGGGCAGTGGGTGTCTGTGTCTCTGATTGATTTTAATTCTGCCCTGCCATAGCCTGTTTAAATTTATATTGCCGCATCACTGCTCTGGAGCTCTCGTGGCGCAGTGGCTCAGGCTGCTAACCAAAAGGTTGGCAGTTTAAATCTACCAGCCACTCCTTGGAAACCCTATGGGGCAGTTCTACTCTGTCCTATAGGGTCGTTATGAGTTGAAAACTCGACGGCAACGGGTTTGGTTTTTTTTTTTGGTTTATCACTGCTCTGCTCTGCTCTTACATTAAGTCTCTCATTCAGTATTTTCCAGATAAAACTAAGTATTATTCATGTATGATGCACTAAGGGTTCATTATTAGAATATCCAAACAGTTCAACCGTAAGGTAACAATAACCCAATCCTAAACACACCAGGGGCTGGGGCACCATTATTATATTGAAGAAGTAACCATATTTGACCCAGAATTAGCAGAACACCCTGGAACCCAACTTCTAAGGGAAAACAAACCTTAAAACAGTCAATGAATTGATGTCAAAAGACCTCAATTCTAGTCCAAGTTCATACACGTACTTATTGGGTTTCTTTGAATAATTTATTTCTATTTCTTAGTGTTTCCAGCTGTAAAATAGAAGTGATCTATTTACCTACTCTTTATTTTGGAAAATTGTTGTGTGAATAACTTCAACGATGGGGAAAATAAAGAAGCTCTTTGAATAAGGCACAATAAAAGGTACAATCATTAGAGTTTCTATTGTAGCGTCAAAGGAGCCCTGGTGGCACAGTGGTTAAGGGCTTGGCTGCTAATCAAAAGGTCAGTGCTTCAAACCCACGAGACGCTCCTCGGGAGAAAGATGTGGCAGTCTGCTTCCGTAAAGATTATAGCCTTGAAAACCCTACAGGGCAGTTCTACTCTGTCCCATACATAGGGTTGCTATGAGTCAGATTCGACTGGGCAGCAATGGGTTTGGTTTTTATTTTTTTGGTTATTGTGGGGGTCAAAGAGAACAATTCACTCAAAGGACACAATGTTTGATTGAGAACATTCTTAATTTTATTTTCTTTAATTTTATAAAATACATTTTGTAAGATAAGTTTCTAAAAGTTTATATTTACGGGTGTTAAAATTGAAATTCTATATCAGAAATGAAGGAAACACTTTCAGTTTATTAACTCTCTTTGTGTGTGTATATGTGTGTATGTATGTATGTGAGGTTTTCAGGGAAGGGTTGGTTATTCGTTATGTTATTAAATCAAAACAAAACACAAGGCATGGATTACTTCACTTTCCTCGATCTTGATTGGTTTCTTACAGAATCTTTTCCCTCTTCTCCCTCTATGCAGTTTGGAAGCTTATCATGTATACTAGTCTGAAAAAAACTACTAAGTGTCTTTTTGTAAAGATCTTACATCTCCTTAAACATTGCTGAAACCACTTTGGGCAGGGTGGGGGGGGGAACAAAACAACTTTTTATAACAAAAGAGCTACATTCATACCTTTAAAGCCTTTCCTTAAATAAAGACTAAGCAGACTTTTTTAAACCCAAAATTAACGGAAACAGGAAGAGAAGACTGAAATCTGGGAGCTATTCAGGTTTCAAACTCTTTCTGCCTATCTTTTTCTGTGGAAGCTTACCAACTGTGAATAGCTGACGGCTAAATCAAATCATCTCCCACTAGCTAGAATGATGGAATAGGTTATTCAAACTGTGGTTCACCAAATCCATTTCTGTAGAAGGAAGAATAATTTGTAGAAAATCCCAAAAGATACATAGAACTAGCCAATTCTAAATATCCTTCGTGATGCTTAATGTCTAATTTTCATTTGCTAAAGAATCATAATCAAGGAATAATTCTCCAGACCTTTCTGGTACAACTCCAAACTTGTTACAAGTGACAAATTGGGAAACGTGAAATGTGCACCATTCTGAAACAAATCAAGATCTGCAAATCACCTACTATGACAGAATTGACAATACCTCCATAAAAAGAGCACCATTGTGAAGATATAACAGAGGCTAGAATACACAACTAATTAACAGAAAGAAATGACACACTATCCAAAGAGTTATCTATCCTGTGTCTACCAGACAGCCTTCTTAGGTTATGCTGTTAGCCACCAGCAACTGCTAGTTTCTCTCTATTCTCAGCTCCTTGGAAACCAAAAGGTTGTCATGGTAGCTGTTATAAAGGAAAAGGGAGTGAGAAGATGCTGATAACACCCTGTTTCTTCCCTAACAAGGTGTAAGGCCAGGTGCCCCCTTTGTCTACACAGATACTAGGCTCTCTTATGCTGTAAGTAGGGTTGGCTGAGTTAGGGCTTAAATACTCCATCACCATAGGGGTCAGTGCTCTCTTTCTGTGGGTGAAAGATCCTTGCTTTGACCCCTTTCTCCCAGCTGCAATAGGCAGATTTGGGCACATGCTCTTAGTGTTTTGCCGCCATTCTTTTTTCTTCTATCTTCGGTGGCAATAGGGAGACAGAAGTGAGTTCTTTGTTTTGTACACCGAGGAGAATATATTTGGCCCCTATAGATGGCAAGGGGACCAAGTGATTTCCTTCTCTCTACCTGAGCATCTTTCTTTTCACTTAGTTTTCCATCAGCGGAAGTGCCCTGTGAGAAGAAAGCACTTCCTGATCCTCGGGAGATGCTTGAAAATTCAATTAAAGCCTCCATTTCTTCATGACTTGCAGTTGGGGAGTCATCTTCTTAGGCATTTCCCATTTCCAGCAGGAACCGGCTGTGAAGCAAAATGACTAAAAGAGGTACGTAAGAGGGGAGAGTCCACAGAGAGACATTAGTCACCGCAAGACTCTCCTTTCTTGTTACACTCGTCAAGTAAGAAGAGGGCCAGTCAGTGGCAAAGGCAAAGAGTTAAGACGGGAGATGCAGCATTGTAGGCTGTGTGGTTAGAGCCTCGCTGTTAGAGAAAGGGAGGTTTCTACAGGAGATCAGAACTTGGTGCCTCGGCCCATGAGTTTGAGGACGGCAAAGTTGTAAGTGGCAGCAATCATGAAGGTGAGCTGTAGGGAACAGAAGAGAGAATATGAGTGAGAGTCGAAAAAGGATGCTCTGCCTCCTCAAATCATTTTGGAAGCAAGGAAGGATAGCTATAAAATCATACCCAAATAAAGGAAAAATGAGTGCTCTGCAAAGAGTAGCACTTCCTGGGCTTTCTCCCCATACGCTTGACTAGAAGTCCTCTCTGAGACATTGCCTTCCCATTGCTCAGGCCCAGAGAATCAACTCAACAAGGACCTATTCCATACATTGCTCAGTCTAGCACTGAGTTTTCCTTAGGGAACTGAACAATACATGGGCGCTGCCATCATCATGTCCATAGGTCTGAGTGACCTGGAGTCACTGGGTACTTGTTGTTGACACACAGCCACACCGTACAGCACAGCCCTCTTCTGCTTAATGCATCAATTTATTTTACAAGGTGAGAAGCAACACAGTTCTGTATAAAAGCCCCAGCAGTAAGGACTAGGAGTTCTTCGAGCCTAGCCTTGTCCTGTCATTGGCTTATTGAATGATTTCAGATACGCTGCTTCACCTTTCAGTACCTTAGGTTTTTAATCTGCACAGTGAGTGCACTACACTGACACTGTGTTGTAACATCATCAGTAGGATCCGGGACTTATGATTGCATTATAGGTAATAACAATTCTAATAATGCTGCGAAGTCCTTCCGGTATTTTCATGAGAGTAACTAAGTCCCTTGGAGAGGGTCCAAGATAGACCCATATTTACAATGTATCGCATTCCAAGTTATAGCAAATCATGTTTAGTGCTGTTTCAGTGTTCCTGTCTGATTTGACCAGGATGTGTTCAGAATTAACTGTAATTTATGACTGCAAAGCACTTGGCAATATTACATGCTCTGTAAATGCTAAATATTCTGATTCATGACTATGAATCTATCTCCTCTTTCCTCACACCATTTTTTTCCTTGTTCCTATCTAATTGCTGCAGTTTTTCCGCCGTTACAACTCAAAACCCACAGAGAAGCACACAGTTTCTACCCTTTTTGCTGTCTCCCCAAAATAGCTTCTCTCTAGCATTCCAAGGTTGGAAGGAATCTATCTATCTTCTTGCCTTTCAGCATAGCTGCACCCAAGCTATCTCAGGGCCGCTTATTTGCCAAGGTCATTCAAAGACAACTCACCAGGGAAACCAGTGTGGCTGCAGCCCCCACAAATGCAGCAATGAACAGGTGGAAGGTCATTTGGAACTGCAAGAAAATGCAATAGGGAAAACTGTCGCAACAGCAAAGATATACTCTGCTATAAATCATGAATGCAGCTTTCTAAATGTGTTGATATCTTTCCTGTGTGTTAACTCTGCATCTCTAACTAATCTGTTACTTCTCTGAGTATATGTCTACCATTCCTCCAGGTACATCATAGCATCAACGCAGAACACTCGTAAAATAGTGTAGTCCTCCCGAATAATCAACTACTTCCTTACAGTCTTGCCCAGGGTCCCATTTTTAAAGTCAACATTTTGCTTTCAAGAAATAGTTTACTACCTTCCTCCCCAGGATTTACTTTTATCCCCTGACCTCATTTGTGTATAACATCTGTTTTTAAGACAGAATTTTCCCTTTTCAAGCGTATTTTTTAAAAAAATCTCTTGTTACAGATTAAGCAACTCCAAACTGGAAAGTATTTTGTAAAACCTAAGAATGTCTCTGTGTACAGCCCACTTTCTTGATAAGGTTTTTAACTAAAAGAATGAAATTTTTCGTTTGGGGAATTTTTCTATTAAACTCTATCTTTGCCTAAGGCAACCAATTTCTTTTTTAAGTGGGGAAGTTTTGGAAGGGAAGTCTTTCTATGCAGCTTTAGGAAAAGTAGATATTTTACTATCTTTGTTCATTGGCTCAAGCATAGTCAGCCAATATTTTGTAGAAGACAATCTGGTAACTCAAAACCCGGCAAAGAGTAACTGTAGTCTTTAAAACTGAAGGTCATAGGTAGGAATTTGTATGGTACTAACCATTCTATTGTAAAATAACTTAAATAGCCCACTCACCTCAGCTGTTTTGCAGATGGACAGAAGGTTGGAGCCACACACCTTTCCAGGGAAAGCATTCCATGGGAGAACACCTAAGCAAGATACACAAATTCACCAGGGCAGCCTTGATGGAGTCCTGGGGCTACATGGAGACTTTCCCCCAGAGCCCTTCTTCCATCTCTAATCATGTTGGTTGAAAAGTTGGATCCTACCAATAATCAGGATCCTATTCTCTAAAGGAGATTTACGAAAATGAGGAAGTATTATTGGAAAGTTGTAAAATCTTGTATTTGTTATTAAAATGTGCTGTTTCTGGGTTGCGAACAGCAGTCAATTAGAGTAGATCAGTTATTCAGCCAAGAAAACTCCCGCCACTTCCAACAAGTTCCCTTACCAGGGAAGAAACCTCTCCAGTTTCAGTGGAGAAGGATCAACAAACTAAGACCCAGGCACCTCTAGTCTTATTTTTTCTCTATAACCACCACGCTCTTAACCCTACGAAAAGAACCAAATCTATAACGCTTCCATAGGGCATGGGGGAGCCAAGGCACCCATTCCCTAACTCACCATACATTCTGGCATCAGCACAGAGACTGCCTATGCTGGCAGAAGTCTTGCTGGGGGAGGCAATAGACTGGCAGGTAGTCCAGGTGTTGAAGTAAATGTACACAGGCACAGCAGAGCAGGCAAACACCAGGAGCCACACAATGGTCAGGGCATAGGTGATGCCCACAAACTAAAACGATTGACATTGGTGGTTAGAGATCAGCATCAGCCCGCAGATGTTGAAACACAAATTGGGAGATCCTGGAGTGGCATGTGCCAGACATGAAACCAGATTCCAGGGATCTCCACCAACTAAAATTAATGAACAGGGCAACTCTGCCAAGTGTCATTGGCAGTATCTACTAGAGCATTGGCCCCAAGTGTGACAGAGGGTGGGGGGAGTGGGTGGGGGTTGGAGTGAGATGGATCCCTGGGTTAGAGAGGCTGCAGGGAATTTTCTGGGCAGATAAGGTGTAAAGAAAACAAAACAGATCTTGAAGAAAGTCGTGCCATTTCATGCCTTAGGCTGAGCTTAGAAAATGTTCCTTGTCATAGGACTTTTGGTGCGTAGTCATTGAACAAAGCCAATTGGAGATTTAAACTTCAGATCCAAAGACCTTTCTAAGCCAACTGCTGGCCACAAAATAAAAGACATCACCACAACCTACACATGTTCAGCCCCCAAAGGATCTGTAACTCTAGACATTGAAAAACAATGTGCCTTGCTAGAAGCATGACTAGCCCTTGGGTGAAATTAAATATGCAGATTTCCTCTAGTTCCCTCTGGGACCGCCAACAGTGTATGATCCCAGAATACTGTGAATTTCACCTTGGAGTCAATTATTTAATTTATATTAAATCAGGTCAGATACCTAAATCTCAGTCCCATAGGTAGCATTTTAGACCCTTGTACAGTCAGGTCCACTCTTGTGGTCCTTGCTAGAAGGAGAGTAACAGGATACCAACAGATGGCTTAGAAATGGTCTGACTGTGCATAGCATACCACAAAACTCTTTTCATTTTCAGATGGAATTTTCTAGGGAAACTTTGATAGGTGAGGCTAAGCCGGCTGGGCACCACGTTCTTCCTGACCCTCTCGTTTGGCTGTAACCATCACTTCCTCACTCAAAAGCCAGGCCCCTAGAGAGGACCCAGCCTTGGGTGAGAGTTAGGCCACAGACTCACGCCCATTCATCCCCCACCCCTTGTTATTGCCACAAAATCCTGAGGATGATCACCTTGTCGGGATGTCCTAGCCATTTTCCCAAACAATGACACACCCGCTCCAAAGAATGAGCTTGATGTTGGCCTCTGGAACCCCTCCCCTTCTGGCCCCCTGTTACCGTTGCGCTCAAGCCCTTGCCGCAGATGGTAGTCTTGTAGTCGCCAAAGATCTGCCTGACTGCACCGGTGGTGTAGAAGCCCTCAGCCAGCAGGAGGGCCCCATAAAGGAAGAAGAAAGAGGCAGTTCCATAGATGACATACTGGAAGGCATGGATCCTGCATCGACAGAGAGACACAAAAAAGACCAGAGAATCTTATTAATTTAGGATCCAGTTTCCTTTTCTGCATAAGTGAGGTACACACCTGAGTGAACACCTTAATAAGGCTAGGGATTCTTTAGAAGAATATCTAGGGTTCCTTCCACCATACTTTCACCTTATCTGTACTAAAGTAAAGGAAGACAGGGAGCGTGTGGCCAGCAGCACATGATCCTCCATCCATATCTTGCTTACTCTGTGACCTGAAGAACCAGGGTCCTACTCTCCTTACCTGACTCTTCAGAGATGCTACCTCAGAGGTGAGAGGAGAGAGGAGGTAGACAAGAAGGAAGAGGGCCCAGGGAGCAGGAGTATAACTTGCCCTAGGAACAGGAGAGACTTAGTACTGGGCCTGAGAAGGCTCAAGCAGTGACAAATCAAGAGCAGCAATCCCACTCTGTCCAGTCATTGTGCCTCCCTGAATTCTCCGTATCTACCATTGTGGAGGCTCCAATTCAATCAATATTAACCACACCTAGCACAGGTTAGACGCAAACATGTGTGAGAAAACAAGCAGGCGGTCGGGAGTGGGCTGGCAAGCAGGCAGAGTCCCCCTTTCTGAATCTGGCACTTCCTCTTCATTTAGGGAGTCAGATGTGGCAAAGTTGGGAAGATTCTGAATCCTGTCTGGCTCTACATCAATCTCCTAGTAGACACTAAGATACTGATGAGTTCTGTATCTCCAGGAAGGAGAGAGGGAAGAAGAGGCGGGTTTGTGTGGGAGGACAGGTACTTACACATTGATGAGATACTCATAATCCTGGTAATTTTTGGAGAAGTAGGTCTCAATTAGCTTTTCTGTGCCAGTGAGTGCTTCATGTCCACAGCCACAGAACAGTGCCACTCCAAAGAAACACAATCCAGTGGCCACCAGGGAAGCAAAGGGGGCCCCTACCAGACATCTTGCACAGCACTCTAACAAGCCTAGAAAAGAAGGAGGGCAAACAGTCAGGGAGGTACAATAGGTAGCTCATGCCACTCTGCTGTACCAGTCAGCTGCTGTGCTCATAAGCATGGGTAGAGTGCTTACCCCAGGGTCTAAACTCAGGCGAGTCTAGATGGTTAGGCTTTCTGAATCTGGGATTGACCCAGAATCCTTACCATATTCCATTCTTGAAGATAAATCCTTACTTTAATTCCCAGAATTTGTTGTTTATAATTCAGTAATTCAAGTAGCAAGTTAGAGAGATTATCCAATCAGTCCCTCCTTTCCTATCCCTCTGCTTTGTTTGCTTGCTTGCTTGCTCAGTTTGTTTGTTTTGGTCATTCAGCAACTACTTGTGGAGTACTTACTATGTGCCTAGCATTGTGCTAGATGTTATGTGGGATATGAAGACGTAAAAGACATAGACTCTGCTATATGAGAGTTTTTCTGTTTACTGGGGAAGAATTAGCTATGTAGCCTTAATATTTTCAACTAACATTTCCAGGCAGCCAAGGAAGTGGTTACAGAAGGTAAAATGCATTTGGAGCTCCAGAAAGGGATGAGTGTAGGCTAGAGACGTTGGTATTGTCAGACAGGATCTGAGTCTTGAGGGGCATTCCAGGTGAGGAAAACTTTGGAAATTATGTCCTTCTGAATATTCCCGAACATTTTGTGTATTTTCTCAAGGAATGCTAGATTCTTCTGAGTCTAGAAATGTGGAGAGTGGTGCAAAGAGAAGAGAGCACTGGCAGAGGGCAGGAGACGCTAATGGGAAAGATTACTATTATTCACGATAATCAAAATGCAGGCTTAATGATTTTTTGGACACTTTGCATGGCTGCTTTGTCCCCCTATTTTGTAGCTCAGCCAATATCCCCACCCTCAGTCTCACACTGAGGTTCTGTCAAAAGAGGTACAAAGAGACTTTATACAAAGTCGGCAAAGCATGAAACGTCTTTCTGGCATGAGGAAAACACACCAGGGCCTGGGAACACAGGTGTCTTAAATTGCTAAGATCTTTGAGAACCCCAAATCTGGTACCCAAGGCTCCATGCCAGTGTTGCTGAGAAACAGGAAAGGGACATACAAAGTCACAGGCTCTGAAAGCAGCTCTGCCCCACATACTAGCCCTTATACTCTAAAGTGTCACATGGAATGAAACTTAGCAAATGTCAAGTAGATGACTGACTAGATGGGAAAAAGGATGGCTCCCTCCTGCCTCTTAGACAGATCCCTAGAAGGTGGAAGGAACGAAAATGTTAAGCTCTTTATATATATGTATGTATGTATGTATGTATGTATGTATGTATACTCTGTCTTATAGGGTCACTATGAGTTGGAATTGACGGCAACGGGTTTGGTTTGGTTTATATGCATAGTATACACACACACACATATATATATAATCAGTAAATAGAGCCCTGGTAGCATAGTGGTTAAGAGCTCGGCTGCTAACCAAAAAGTCAGCAGTTCGAATCCACCAGCTGCTCCTTGGAAACCCTATGGGCCAGTTCTACTCTGTCCTATAGGGTCACTATGAGTCGGAATTGACTCGTCGGCAACTGGTTTGGTTTACGGGTTTTTAATCTGTAAATGTGCTGGGGATCTGCAACCTTGGAATAAGCATGTTGTGACTCCTTGTAAAGTCCTTTGCCTGACCCTGTTAATTCTAGAACAGTTTCTTTTTAGCCCTGAGTACATGAGCACCTGGAGCCCTGGTGGCACAGTGGTTAAGAGCTCGGCTGTTAATTAAAAGGTTGGCAGTTCGAATCTACCAGCCAGTCCTTGGAAACCCTATGGGGCAGTTCTACTCTGTCCTGTAGGGTCGCTATAAGTAGGAATTGACTCAGCAGCAAGGGGTTTGCTTTTAGTTTTTTGACATGCACACCTGGTGACTTGCATGACTGAATTGTATCAATGTGAACAGTTTTGAGGACAAAATTATCTCTATCACGGGAAAGCTGAGGTAGAGGCATTTGGCTCTGTTCCCAGAGTCATAAAATGCGTGAGTCCTATTATCCACCGTCCCCCATAATGACAGCCCTTCCCTGGACCTCAAGAAGTCTTTTCTTTGAAGATGCTTATATGTCACACCAGAGATGAGGTGCAGAAGCCCAAGTGAAGCAAAGAAAGTAGCTAACATTTACAGCAGCACTGAATACCTTTCTTCTTCCAAGAATTGAAGCACTGCTGTCAGAAAACTTGGCCTCTATGGGAAGTAATCCATTTGTTGCTGTGCTGCTGTAAGTGGAGGCTGAGTTCACTCAGCATGAACTTTGCAAGAGACTCTCATCAGAGCTGGCCCATAATGTGTGTGTGTGTGTGTGTGTGTGTGTGTGTGTGTGTGTGTGTATGCACATGCGTGTTCATGCTCACAAATATGCATGTACACATATGTGTATACCAGAGAGAAAAACACAATGACTGAAACTGATTTTTGCTCTCAGCAAACGATTTCAGAAATTGATCTTCCTCTTTCTTAACAGGTTAAGATACTAGATACATCCTGTTAGTCAAGAAAAGGCGCTTGGAAGTAAACAGTGATGCCATTTTCCTTCTCTGCCTATACAACTCCTCCCCACCCCTAAACTCTTACACTCTTCTTGTAAAGAAGGGCTCCGAAGCCTGCGGGTGGGGAGAGGGGAAGGTCAGTGACCCCACTGTTCCCTCTCTCTGGAGCACAGGGTCAGGACTTGGACACAGCCCTCCATAGCTCTCCCAGACAAAGGAGCCTTGTTTTCCCTTGAGGTCTCAGGAGCCTCATTGGTATTCTGCAGGGGCCCGCAGGCCTGGGGGTGGGGAGGGGGTCAGACCCAGGGAACAATGGCAGGACTGTTTGTTTAGCCCAGGGTAAGGACAGTCATCCACCCCAGCAAGTGGCCCTTCTGGACCCACTCACTCACCCCAGCTTTTTCACCCTGGGAAGGGTTAAAGAGTGGTACAGGTGTGATCAGGATGGAGCAACCTGAACTCTAGTGAACGAAACACAGAATTACACCGTAAGCTTTAGCTGACGCCCCTTCCAGGGTTGTAAAGATAAAAAATATATATCTTTAGTATATTTGATCCCTCGATCATCATCCAAATAACCAAAGAATATCATATATAGTGTTCTCACTGGGTAATAAAGGGCTAGGCTTGGCAGCAACTCTTGAGTCACCAACTGATACTCTTTCTTCTTACATTCATTTTTCCTCTATTTTCCTAGAGCCAAATGACTTAGCACTCCCTTTCCTGCTCCACTGTCACTCAAAGCAAGGGACAAGAAGGAAACAGGCTTTAATGAATCTCTAATATGGAGTCTGAAATAAATGGCCTTAAATAAATCTATCACTCTTGAGCTACAAACAATCTAAGCATCAGATGTCCATCTCTGTCACAATTGAAATGAAATGTTTGCTCTGACGGCATTTAAGTTCAGCACAAGTGAGAAATCTCAGTCAGTCTGTCCAAGCAGAAATCAAATTTTGGATTCCAACTGAGGAAAACTCAGAACATGCAAGAAAATATCTGTTCATCAAAGTAGTTGACAATCAAAGCATTCTGAGTAAGGTCCACTGGGTTCACTGTGACTTTCCACAGCCCAAGAAATGTCCTTGTGCTGTGTGAACAATAGCCTAAAGCCACAGGCTCTCCATTTCAGAACCCCTCATGGTTGAAAGCGTGTTTAATTCAGGAAGCCTGTGAGGGATTCTAGAAGAGAACTTACTTGACTCTCTCAAAAGATAGTCTCACATTCCCAGGCTAAGTAGAGACTGCACCATGGTAGAGTTGACACAAAAGAATTATATAGTAATAATATTTCCCAGTGCAACTCAATTGGGTTAAATTGCCTGACTTTGATGGTCATAGAGAAGGATAATGACCCTCCCCAGTGTTTTCGTTTCTCTTTATGTGGATTCAGTCCGAGTATTTAGCACCTTAGCAGTAACCTAGACACTATGGAAAACAGAAGGGAATTATAAGGGCTACTCTCTCTAGAGAACTTGCAATCTTGCTGGGGAGAACACACGTGCCTGTGAATCAAGACCAAAACTACCCATACTCAAGTGTTAAAATGGATCTATTCAAGTCCTGTGGGCAAAAAGTAAGGAAAGGGGAACTATTAGTTCAGTGTTGACTGGATATATTTCCAAACTCCCCAAACAAGCCTAATTGTGTGGCTTTTATCCAGATCCATGTCCATCCAAGGGACTGTGGTGATTCTGAAGCTGTCTCTTTAAGCAGGAACCAAGAGCTCCCAAGCCCTCCCTTCTTTCCCATGCCCTAGGCACGCCTAAAGGACCAGCTCCATGATGGAAATTCAGTGTGAATCTGGGAGCTCATCAAAGGAAGGAAAGGAAGGGCTTTCATAGAAAAGGATGGCAGAAAGAGACCAATTGTGCCCTGTACAATTCCCAGCCTGTCCCTTGAATCCAGCTGACAAAGGGAGAGATAGAAGAACCCTACACAATAGAGCTAAACAACAGGCAGGCTCATTGAGTGAGAAACTGGCCCCATCTCCCTAAGTCTCTAATCTGCACTACAGTCTTACCCTCCTCCCAGAACCCACCCCTTAACCTCACCCCATGAACAGAGGCCTTCTTGATCAGGGCCTATAGCAGTTGACAGGGCCAAGATGCTAGAGCAGCCGTGACTGGTACTGGGGATGGATGGGGATCAGTGGGTGGGTTCTAGAAGTAAAATAACAATCATCAGGAGGTACCAGAGACAAAGACTTTTGCTTCTGGCTTTATCCTGGTCAGAGAAAGCCCTGCCTATGATCTTGCCTTTCCTCCATGATATCAACACATACCACATTCAAGTACTAAAAAGGGGCTGTGCAGTCACTGGGTCCTGGGAATCCAAGCCCTGCTGCATAGTCAAGTCATGTGGACAGGGTTAAATAAAGATGAAACTCAGCCTCGTTTTTGGACAGGTAGTACTATTACTATGGCAATGGCATTGGGCCACCTTGTTTCCTATGCTCCCTACTCCTCCTCAAGACACACACGCATATGTGTGCATATGCACACACACATGTGGATGCCAGTTTATGTTCAAACTACATATTTGGGAGGCAGAGTTAGGAGCTTGATTGTTGAAACCGAGCCCTGACACATGGTCTCCACCTTGCCCACTTATGGGTGGATGAAAGAGAAATACTTAGCACTGAACTAAGAGACAACAGTTGTCATACTTTATGGCTTAGGTCAATCTCCCAGTGATTCTTCTGCTTTCCTTGGTTGCAGTGTGAAGCTGATCTGGGAAGCTTTGTTCTTTCCTTTGGGATGTCACTGGCTGCTCTCCAGAGACCTGCCTGGCAGACAGCTCAGAGGCCAGCACACAGCTGAGAGATGGCCCTTAGGACCATTTTGCAATAGCCAATGAGGGATTAAACCATCAGTGTTTGCTGAGCTTTTGACGTAAGTTTGGCACTGGGTGGATCTGGCAGTGGGAAAGGAAGGGAAAGCTGCTCTTCTCATCTGCCCCAGCTGATACGACCCGTCCCAATCATGTCAGTGCCCTCACATGATCTTCTCTGCACCTGAAGTTCTTGGACAGGGAGGACATTTCCACTGTTGCTTTCTTTCAAGACCAAGAGCTAAACCACAGAGATGGATTTTAGGACTTGAAGATGATGCATAAAAAGGCAACGGGAGAAAAAGATGCCACTGTCTGGGGCTCTGCCTTGATGGGTTTGGAGACTATATTTCCCCTCCTGCCTATCTCCCAAGGGTTTCTTGAGTCTTGGTACTACTCAAATAGCTCCAAGAGACCAGTTTTACTGTGAGGCTGTTGAGTAAGCTTCTTGTTTCCTAGCCTACAGCCAGGAGGAAAACACCCCAAAGCAGAGCAGGCTTTTCAATCTGCTTGGTTCTCCAAGAGCTCCTCTGGCTCCGCAGGGCCAAGGTGAAGGAAGAGTCGAGGGAGAGGGAGGCTGCACGTCATCATTTTAGTCAGTGACTCTAGGATGAGTAAGTGAAAGTGCTGGTTTGGATCTGGTTTCCTTTTAGCTCCTGGCATTCTTGCAATCTTGGTGGGATTCAGTTAGTCCCCAGTCATTTTGTAAAACTGGGCCCCTACTCTACCTCCACACTCTTTGCCTGGGTTACATCCACTTACTCTGAGCCAGCCAAAACTATACTGCTCAGCAAACAGCACCTTTGGAGGGAAGTATCATAGTCTGGTTACCAGGGTAACAGCCACTGTTGTCAGACAACAGGCTTGCAGGAGCCAATGTTTTGCTGTTCAGTAATGGCATTGTGTTACTGAGCAGAGAAAAATCAGCCACTGCTCTTTGGCTCTTTTCCGATCCCATTGTTATCACAAAGACTTGTTTGGAACACCCCCCTCCCAAATTAGGACAAAGCATAATGAACCATCATTTCCCCATAAACCTTTTGTGCAGATACTACTGAATTCAGTGCTCCTCTTCATTCCAATCCTAAGGGATTCTACATGGTTGAGGTTGTGAGCTCCCTGTTCCTGGAGGTGATTAAGCAGAGGCTGTATGAACATTTAATTGGCTGTTGTACAAGGCAATCCTGCACAGACAGTTGGCTCAGACAACTTCTAAAATTTCTTCCAATCCCAGATTCCATGATAAAATCTGTTTACTGTAATTGTTAAACAACAACACATTTCACCTCAGAAGTAGTAGCAGTTCAATACCTTGTCAGAGATGGTCTATAATTCACTAACTATTTGAGATACCTGTTACTGAATAACTGAACACTCAGTAGCTACTCCATCATGTGTACCTGGCCCACGTATTGCCTACTCCCAGGATCTGGGATTCGATCCATGTCCTAAATGGTGCCCCCATCCATGACCATCATCCAGCCTCCGTAACAGGAAACTGTCCCTATGGTCTCCTTATTTGTTCCTGCCTCTGCCTTAGGGCTTTCATCCCCTGAGGAATTAATATTCAACATCCTTCTTTACCTCTCCTTTGTTGTTAATTCACAACCGACCCAATCAGCTGCCCTGACATTAGATAGGGTTCCTGATGTTAGCCAGGGCAGGAACTGAGTTCCTGCAGTGTTCACCTCTCACCCAGCCACACTTAACTGGCGCAATGATTGTTACCCAAGCACACAAAGTGCACATAAAGAAAACTCAAACCACCCTGGAAAGAGGAAAAATCAGCCTGTACATGAGCTGATTGTACAATAATTGGTTTTATCATAATTTACAGTTCTTACAGTGCTTGACCAATTTCAAAGAACTCCCACATCATTTTTGATTCTCACAACCCTGAAAATAGACAGACCAGTTATTTTTATCCCCATTTTCCAGATGATAAAATGGTTATTCACAGTGACCTACCCAAGGTCACACAGTTCATAAATGGTAGGTCTGGGATTCGAACCTGGTTGTTTTGACTCCTTGTCCAGTGCTCTGCCCTCTTAACTATCCTACCCAAATACTTGTTTCAAAGAGCTCTCTAAGTGTTTTAGGATAAAACAACCTAAGGCTGACACCAGCTCCATACAATTGAAAACCTTCTCTCCACGGTTATTGTTGGAGTCTACTGGGTACTACATTTGATGGTGAATACATGGGGCAATTGAATCTCATTTCATTTAGGATAACTCAAGCTGCTACCCTTGTTTTGCCAAATATGAGAAGGGTCAACATGTCTCTGTGGCATCCCGTACAGACAAAGACCCTTGGGCTCTGAGAAGACACTACCAGAGACCAGAACCTCATAGCTTCTTTCTTTGTTCATAGAACCTGGAGAAGCCTTCAGTACTCAACCAACTCAGCAAGAGACCTAAGGTCCCAGCAGCCTCCCTGTCACAAGCGGAGATTCAGAGCCTGAGCCATGCCCTCAGGAAGGCTAAGTCTGTGATATGTGCTATCAGTTGTTACCCATACATACACATACACACGTACACCCCTACACATATCTGTTACCCATGGTGAAGCCATTGAAGACTTTATTTAAATTTCCTGAATCTGAGATTGGCCTTCTCAGCCATGACCAAGACTGAGTCCAGCTTGCCTGGTTCCTCAGCTTCCTACTGATGCCAAACAGGGTCCAAGTTTTGTATCAAGCAAGCAGTTATTTCGTACACCTGAGGGCTAGCCAACACTCAGTTGCCTACAGCAGAACCAGGGGTACCAGCTGACCCAGCCATAAACAGGGCCTTAGACAGGCAAAAAGAGAAGGTAGAGTGAAGTGAGGGGGTAAGAGGACCCATGATCACATCCATCCCGCTGGACACTCTCTCCTGGGATCTGTGGGACTCTCTATGTGCTGCTGGAATTCTTTAGCAAGAAAGCATCATTCTCAATTCTTTGGCAAGAAAGCATCATTCCCAGTTAATCTAGTTGCGTGCTAAGGAATTAAAAAGAAAACAAGTGCCAAAACACAACTCATTTAAACCATTGTAAACCATGAACCCCAAAGTTGGAAATTATCTTGAGAATTCCTATGCCTGCTTGAAACTTCCAAGCTAAAGTTTTTGAAACTCACCCATGTCTTTGGGACTCTGACTCCAATTGTAGCCGGCTGGCTAGTCTGCTTTGCAGCTGATTTTGTTTGTTCAGCTGGAAGGATCCTGGTCTCTCCAGTCTCCTTCTTCGGTCCTTTACTTTTTCTCTCTGAGTATCTTTGTCCTCTTCTCCTGCAATGAAAAGGGCTTTCTGATTGACAGCCAACCCCCTTAAAGAGACAGGCCCGCTTTCCTCCTCCTCTCCTCCTCCCCTTCTCCCCTTGTCCCCACCTTCTCAGGGATACTCCCTTTTCTAAGGGCTCCATCTTCTCTTTCTGCCTTTCACTGCCAATTGTTTCATTTTCTTTCTTTTTTTTTTTTTTTTAAATTTTTTCCTAAGGCTTGCCTGTGTGGAATTTCACTTTGCTGCAGAGACATCTGGAAATGCGGATTGGATTGGGGGTGGAAATAAAAAGAAGAGATTCTGGAAGCCTCCAACTAATCCTAGGGTCTATTTGGTGTGGATGTGGCAGCACAAGAGTTAGAAGCCATGGAAGGGGTAGCACTGACCAAGGGTTTAGGGTCAAAAAACTAGATGCTGTCTCCCAGAGTCCTTCCAACTCTGCCCCAACCCCACCCCTCACTCCTAGCTGCCCGGCCTTATCCACCTTCCCCCCCGCTTTTCTTCCTGGCAAATAAACATCCCCTCCCCCCACCCAGCTCTAGAAATATAGAAGAAAACTTCCTCTTTTAAAATACTTTCCTTCAAGTCCTTCTTGGTTTCACCTGTAGAAGGACAAAATGTAAGCTATTGATTCCAAGAACAGATTGTGACCAAGCAGGGGGAGGCTAGAATCATAGTAATTGTATAGATAGGGTAATAGAAACCAGAGAGGGGACAAGCCCTGTGCTTGTTCACAGAATGAGCTAAAGAGAAAACCAAAGTTGAGGATGTGGTTGGTTTCCAAAGAGGATAATCGACTTTGAGACAGGTCAAGAACACAATCTGGGATTCAAGTAGTCAATACCCGATCCTGAGAACGTAGTGTCTTCATCAGAGAGCTTAGGCATGGCTGGCAAGAGGCAAAGGGTGGGTTGGGGGTAAAGCAGCAAGTGGTAGAGAAAGTGGAGAGAAGGAGAAAGGAAATACAGTCCTTGCCTCAGAGAAAGAAACACAAAGAAAAAAATGGCCAGATGGCCAAAAACAGGGCATAATATATGAAACTTGTCGTACCAATAATAGTCATTTCTAAAGACTATGAAGGTTGTTGGAGGTATTTGAGTGCCCAGTGCTAGGTGGGATTAGCTTGGGAAGGCTTTCTAGAAGAGGTGAATCTTAACCGGTGTCTATCTGAGATCTTTGTTGATGTTCTCTCTCCCTTCAGGAGCTTCAAGGGAGGCACAGTTCTCTTGACGTTGAGGCCAGCAACCTCCCATGGATGGCCTATAAGGAAACTGGTTGGCATATAACTCGAGGGTTACCTCTTAGAAGATTCCAGGGAAGGAAGGTATGGTCTCCCAAAATTTTTCCTGGGGCTTTGCCTTGGGGTAAGAGAGGAGAGGAGGGAGGTGCTGAGCAGAGCCTAGAATCTTCCTGTGCGTGGAAGAGAGGCAAGATTGTGTCTTATAGTTTTCTCTTCAGACCATGGCTTCAGGCATGTTTCTGGCTTGGGCTGTTCTGTGAGCAGGGCCAGATTACCCAATAAGCAAGGTACGCACGGGCCCAATCGTGCCTTCCCACCAACCCACGGTGCACAATTTCACCTGTCCCCCACCACGTCAAAGATGTGGTGAAACCCATGTGAAATTGCTCACCACAGATTAGCAAGTAAATATAATTAATCTGTGAGTACCTTGCTCAGTGCAAGCCGGTGCATACCGTGCTTACTGGTTAATCTGCCCTGGCTGTTAGGAAATGAGTGAATCTTCTGAAGATGTCTCTGGGGGTCCACCATGATCCTGAATTCTGAATTCTTTGAGACATTCCCAGAGTTCTAGAACTCTAGTTCATTTACTCTTATACCAGCCCCCAGGAGAAAGGATCCTTGTAAGTGCAGATAAGTGTAGCAGTAGCTTTCCAGAGCAGCCCAGTACCCTAAGTCAAATGACCGACAGTAGAGGCTCCCAGGAACCCTGCCCTCCCCAGTACCGCATTCCAGCCATAGACTCTGCCTGTTGTGGAAACTAAATTATAGGATTGTGCCAACAGTTAGCTTCTGGACGATTGTTGTCAGAATGGCCCTGGAGGAGGGGGACGACCAAGAGCAAGAGTCACCAGATTTGGCCCATAGCTCACCAGAAGGCAAAAGAAGCTGAGTCCAAACTTTGGGAGTTCTGATTTAGGGGATGAAAGAGATGGTTCTTTAAAGCTGAAATAGATGAGACAGCTCTGCACACAGGGGAACTGGCCCAAGCTGAGGCCTCTCACAAATCTTCCTCTGGATCCACAGCAGCAGCCCTGGGGACTGCTAGGCTACTCAAGAAAAGATATGTTCCCAATAAAATCACGGATCCCGATTTATCAACCACATTCTCCCAACACACATTTCCCTTCTCCTTTCCTCCATCTCTATTGCCTTATTCTTCATTTTGTCTTCTCTGTAAATCTCAATCTCTGTGTCTCTGTCTCTCCACCTTTGTCTCTGTGTGTCTGTCTCTCTCTCTGTTTCTATTTCTCCACATTCCTTGATTGAGCATGTCTTCCTGTCTTCACCCTGTTCTTATGGTTAAAACAGCCGAGTGCTTTAACCATAGCACCACCAGGGCTCCTTCTGAGAAGTACAGAGGGTTGGAAACCCAGGGCTTGGAAAGGGGCTTGGCCAGGTAATTGTGCCATGCTCACTGTCCCCAGTGCTTTAAGATTTCCAACTCCCCAGGATCTAGTGTGTCGAAGTCACTTTGTACTTCCTGACACTCCGCCTCAGCACCCACTCACAACTTCTCTCCTTAGCCCCTCCTATAGCCTTCATATGGTTTCTTTCCAGGTCCCCAGCTGCCTTTTCTACCCACCAATTCCCACCAATTTCTGTGATTCTGCTTCCATTGGGCCTGCTGGGTGCCCTTGGCAAAATCTTCCCCAGACTCCAGCTGGGCTCCTGGCAGTGCCCAGGGATTCCTCAAGAGGGCACTGCCAGTCTTCTTGGTGGCAGCCAACTGCCTGCATTGGGTGCCTGTGGGAACAATGCAGGATTGTAAGAAACTAGTAAACAGTTTGCTTCATGCAATTCTGATGGGACCTCAGAGGATCTGGGCCCCCTGGATCACAGCTTAGTTTGGTTGTCCGTCTTTTTTGCAAATAACTCCAAAACACTTGGCCATCACCTCCACTTTTTGCTCTGTAATCCCACAGCACCAGATTCTTGAAGGCTACTGGGCAAGTGGATTCTCTTTGCTCCATTGTGTAGACTCAACTCTGAAACTCAGGGAAGTCCAGTGGAAACTAATTAAGGATCCAAGTGCCCAATCTGGTGGCCCACTCCTCCATATCTACATAAAGGGGAACAGAAAAGCCAGAGTACCAGTGAGAGCCTGGGTCACCGACTAGCATTTGGGCTTCTAGTCCTGAGGCTTTGCTTTTCCTTCCCAAGATAATGTCCTCCCGGAGCAACTTTGGGAAGGCAGGTGGCTTTTTCCTACAGCTTTTCAAGCCCTGACATAGAAGGTTAACTGGATAGCTGGCAGTATATTATATCCTGTGTTTGGGGCCAGAACTTTCCACAACCAACTTCATGCTGATTGGCTTGGCCATGTGTTTCTGGCCAAGAGAACTGAGAGCTGAGGGCCACAAATGCCAGATACATTGATCTGTAATAAGGTGGAGGAAAGTGGAGGGTGCCCTTCTGCCTCTCCTGAAGATACGGGCAGGTGATGAGTTGGATGTGTATTTGTGATGGGGAGATTCCCATGGCTTAGGGACAGAGTGAAGGGTAGCCCGGAAGCCAAAATAATCAGATGAAAGGAGTGCCTGAGGAGCACCAAGCAGCTACTGGAAATGTGGAAAAACAAGCTATCTACATAACCTACCTCCATCACCATAAAAACTTGGTCAGCTTTGGAAGGGTGGCCCCTGCAGAGAGACTGTATGTTTGAGGTGGTCTCTGAGCACAACAGAAATAAAACTACTATCCTTCACTGCTGGTAAAAATCTTCAATTTCTTCATCTTTGACCTTAGTGGTTGGTGCGTAAATTTGAATAGCTTCCGCAGTCTGAAATTGATCAAACATGCAATCAGGATGCATTGATGATTACTGGTGATTGGAATGTGAAAGTTGGAAACAAAGAAGAAGGATCGATAGTGATAGAAATGATGCTGGAGATCGCATGATAGAATTTTGCAAGACCAACGACTTCTTCATT